GTGTGCCTTGGTTGGTGTGGTGAATGGTTACACAAGCCAAAACTCGTTATGACATAAAGTGAGTCAGCTCATTTTCAGACAGGTTTTTACAATGGAAAAAGCTGTATTACAAGAAGTGAAGCATACCTGAAGTGCTTTGTGCTGTACTGGTGAGGGAACCGCTGTGGCTGGAGGCACGAATGGATGACCAGGCACTGTTAGAAGGCATCGTGGTGTTCAGTGATGAGGATGGCCCTGCGAGACAGAGAGGGGAAAGTTAGCGCCTCTGAAAACATGTATGGTTTATAAACGCTTTAAAATTTCATTATCTTTTTAAAAGCTAGACAGAAAATCACATTTCTTTCAAGTCAGGCAAATAAGGCCCTCGGAAATGGCACAGAGTGGTGCTTCTTTCTCCAAGACACAATCTTGGATCTGGCTTAAATACAATCTGACAGTGTTAGCTTGAAAGAAGCTTTCTTAACGTTTCGGACATTGTTTAATGCTGATGAAAGGAGAGAGAAGTAGATAAAAGATGAAATAAGAGATATAAAAATTGGTATTCTTTATTGAAACTAGGGCTGCACGATATGGGAAAAAACTGACATTGCGATATTTATTCCCCCTGCGATATAAATAGAGATATGAAAAAATACAGGAATTGTCCGCAAACCATCCTTTCTTGAACTTTAATGTTATACAATTGTTTTTTTTTAACGATATTTAGTTGAAGGATTTGAGGATGAAGGATTTTAGTCACGGCTTCTGGATCTTAAGTTATCAGAGCAACAAGCTGAGCTAGCTCGGTTATCCTGCTGTGATCTGATCAAGAATGGTTGTGATTGGTGAAATGCAATAAAATGAAAAACAAAAAACAAAATAAAAAGCACTTAGATACTAACAAAGGACTTAGATACTAACAAAGCACTTAGATACTAGCAAAGCACTTAGATACTAACAAAGCACTTAGATACTAGCAAAGCACTTAGATACTAACAAAGGACTTAGATACTAACAAAGCACTTAGATACTAACAAAGCACTTAGTATCTAAGTCCTTTGTTAGTATCTAAGTCCTTTGCTAGTATCTACCAAAGCACTTAGATACTAACAAAGGACTTAGATACTAACAAAGCACTTAGATACTAACAAAGCACTTAGATACTAACAAAGGACTTAGATACTACAAAGACTTAGATACTACAAAGCACTTAGATACTTACTAACAAAGGACTTAGATACTAGCAAAGCACTTAGATACTAACAAAGCACTTAGATACTAACAAAGCACTTAGATACTA